TATCTCCCTCTTTGGAACTAGTATTAGTCTATCATATCACTAAAAAATAATAAATCTTTGTAAAAGGCAGCTGTTGCTTTCATAGTCCGGCAGCAAACCCCGTCTGGTACTATTGGAAAAGTAAAAAAGGCAACATACTCTAAATTACATTGTTAAAACACCTACAGCCTGGTTCATTTTCATATGCTATCCATATGTAAGCCCTTAGCAATAGACAGCCACTTAAAAACTCTCTTGTTCTCGGTGTGTGTGTGTGAGAAAGAATGAGCGAGAGACGGTGAACATGGAGCCCTGTGTTTTTATTCTGACGTTTTCAAGTGGAAAATATTGCAAAACCTAACTGGTGTGAAAATGATTAAACTGGATAAATAAATGAATAAATATAATAGCAAGTTTTCACATATAAAAATTACTGAAAAGTTTTTAGTTTTATCAACCCCCTTCCACACCCACCAGAGCATATGGCCCTCTGTTTGTGCAAATCAGCAGTCTTTGCTTAAAGTGGATGTTTCTATTAACACTGTGACTAATTACTGAAAACAAACATGTGTAAGTATGATCTCTGCTAACTGCCTCTGTCAACCCATCTTTTTCTTCTTGTTATTCATTTGAAGGGATTAAGATTGCTCACAAAAGTACAGTAGACCTCCATTTAGCCCGATAACTGGCATGAATAAACAAAGCCCATCAACCACAATTGACGTCAGGCTTCAAGAAGTGGTTTTTATATTAGTTTATAAAAAAAAAACCAAACATAAAAAGTGAAAAAGTTTTAGAGAGCCTTAAAACACCTAACGTAAAGAGCTTTAACAGTGGACATAAAGGGCTGCTTCACAAATGGGTATTGAGAGCACAGCTAGACAAACTGCAGTGCATGAGCTCAGATGGGTGGCAGACATTTTGCGCTGAGGGTAACCAGCGTTGTCTCAGTATGCAAGTCTGGACATACGTGTACGCAGAAGGGGCATCCAGAGGAACTTTAATGTCAGTCTTTCTTGTGGTTTTCTCCTATCCAGAAATAAAAACAAAAAAAGATTCCAAGCATCCATTTGGTCTTTGTAAGATACAAAGATGAAAAGATGCAAGCAGATTTTTCTTCCAAGTGTCCTACAAAAGCTGGATTTATCCGCTGCCACACCAGCATCACAGAGCGGGACACAGCAGGCTGCACGACTCCTTGTCTTGTTGCCTACTTGGGAGTGGCGGAGACAGGAGAGACCCCAGCTCTCCAAAGGAGCTTTATGGTACAAACCATCTTTATGGTACAGCTTGAATGCATGTGCTCTTCACAGCCCCCATTTCTGGGCTGGCTGTGGCCCTGGAGAAATTGTTGGGCTCTCAGCTGCTGTGGCCAGTGGTGAAACCAGGTCTCAGTGCACTTTTCTTTCTCATACACACACTGACTGCCCCTAGAGGACCCAGCTCTATGGGGGGGAGATAGAAGTAGTAAACGCCTTTACACAGCCACGCTGCCCGCCTGTTTAACTCAAGAGTTGTGGGATGGGGTCTCAGTGCATTTTACCTGAAGTTGTACATAATGTAAAAACAAATTGTATGCTAGAAAATTGCACAAGTCTACATCTGCTGATTTTTCCGAGCGCATAGTGTGGTTGGGAGCCAATTCCCTGTCATTTCTCATCTCTTGCACTTTACACAGGGTGTTTCCTTTATAAAACAACTTGCCTTTGGGTTTAATGATTTCTAAGGAAACATAACTCTGTCACTGCACTCTGGTGTTTAACTCCTCCTTTGTCATTAGTGTCTGCCCAGTGCAGCCCAGGGACGCCAGTGCGCTCACTGAACTGTGCATGCACTTTGTGTACTCTTGGGCTCGTGCCCATGCCTGGAAGCTGGTGTTTGATCTAGACTGAACAAGATGGCCTTAGCCTTCAAAGCCAGCGTGTTTACATTCCTCTGCTCTATCTAGCCTCTTTTTTTTTTGAGTGCCCCCAAGATAGGTGTCTTGTTGTTAGAATAAATACTTACCTTGTGCATTGCGCTTTCCTCTGGTGGCCTCAGCATGCTTTTGCAGAGATGGAAGCACTGTTAACTCCATTTTATGGCTGGAAAAATGGCAGCACAGTGCTCAGACCTGCAGGGCAAAGCAGGGGCAGAAACAGCCAGGAAAAAAAACCACAGGTGTCCTTTCACTCAGTCCAATACAGCCCAGCCTGGTTCAGGCCCACCTAGTGAACTGTAGCACCTCTGCTTCCCTTCCAGCCACCCTTGCCTTCAGCAGGTCCTTCTCTCCCCCCCAGACCAACCCTTGTGGTGCAGGGGGCTGGGGAGGCAGAAAACAGGGACAGCACAGCAAGGGGTATGCAGAAATAGAAAGTCTTTACATGATTCACTTTAGTGCAATGTGGGATGAAGCAATCAGGGCAGATGTGTTGTCTTGCCTGCTCTGTGCCTGTCATGGGAGGAGAGCTAGGTCGGGCAATAAGGTCCTGTGAACAAGACTGGTGAAGAGCAGGTGCAGGAAGAGGGTGAGGGGAAAACCCTTCTGAGAACGGGAGGTGAATGGGGTCAATGCTAAGCTGGCCGTCTCCCGTCACACGACATTGCTTTGGCTATATGAAGGGAACAGCAAAATCCACTGCCAGTGGTGACCCATTCAGAAATGGCCTCTCTCTGCCTGGGATGGCCACTGCATGGCAGGGACGAGCGCTCTGGCTGGGTGCAATGGGGGAGAGTGCCCTCTGTCTCTTCTCATGCTCAGTAGTGGTACTGGCCTCGCATACTAAGACTATAGCCATGTAAAGGAAAATCCAGTGATTCAGTGGTTGCTGTTTGTTCCTACTGCTGTGTCCCATACATATGAGAAAATTCAGCTCCAAACATGGCTCATACATCACATGAATCAACAGTCTGAGAGCTGGAATAACCAATGGAGAAACCTAAGGGAGCTACAGGAACAGGAAAGCAGCTGCAGCAAGGTGTACAAAACTCGAAGCTTGAGTTTACCATTCAGCTCCTCTTCGGTCAGCTTACAAGTGCTACCTAGCCCTGTTGGGTATGTCTCGGAGAAGGGGAGATGAAGCAGCAAACCGGTAACGTCCTGACTCAAATCTCATCAGGTTTCCTTCCCTTCTGGAAGACATTTTAAATTTGTCACCACTTCTCTAAAGATGCCAAAATAAGAAGCAAATCACGCTGGTTTTGGCTGATGCATCTCACACTGAGCCAGAGGAGAGAAAAGCAGTTACGAGTGCTGATGCTGTGCCCTCAGTTTGCTCCGTTAACACAGCATCAGGCATTTTTGATCTATGAGTTGGGGAAAAAAAAAGACTAAAAATGGTAAAAAGCCTACACCTTACCTGCCCCACAACTTACAAAGTCAGGCGCTGCAGTATAACACAAAAGAAAGTCAATCTGAGGGCAGAACCTCTCAGCCTTCATAGTTCACATTTCCCAATGTGCGGTGTAGGCTGACAGTATTTTCCGCTCCCTGAGGCCTGGGGTTTGAAAACCGACAACTCTTCGCTCAAATTCCCTGTCCACTCTAAAAACCATTTAATGGCAGTATAACTGGAAGGGTCGAAAATCAACTCTTACTTGGCAATGGCCCCTTCCAGAGTCAAGGCCACAGCCCCTGCTGAGACACAGAAGAGCTCCCGATTTCAGCATGGCAGTTCACAAACACGGGGCT